GGGAGTCAAAACGTTTATGGAATAACTGGAATTAGAAGATGATGAAAGTTCCCATGAACTTTTTGAAACCCCCTCATATACTGAAATTGCCATGGGAGATGTTGAGCTTCCCCTTCAATGGTGGAAATGTCCTACCCTCCAAGAGAAAGATAGTAACTTCTCAGTGCTGTCTGGCAATAGTCTCATTTATAGACCCAGAGAAAGGAATTCACCACTCAGCTTTTACTGCACTGTAACTTTGTCAGTTTGCTCTGTTCCTTCTTTAGATTTCTGCCTCTTTCCTCTGGGCTTCGCCCATACCTGAACCATAAAGAGAGGTAGAAGTTGTATGTAAAGAAACACAGTAAGGCTGTAGGGAGGCAAAGCCTGGACTCACCTCATCTTGGGTCTGCCTGCCTCTGCAAGAGCCGTGCTGTTAGGGGTACCCGCGGATCCTTTTATGCCCCCAACGTCTCACCCACCTCTCGATTTCCTAATTCCTGTGTCTACACAATTTGGCCTGGTTAAGGCAACTGGTATTTTCTATTAACAAAAGCACAAACAATATGAGCTGAGCTCTTGCTTCACATTAGAATTTCCCCTGTTGTTCATTTACAATTCCTGAAGAGGCCTGGTAAAATATCACATCCCCACAGACCTGCCAAAGTGTTTCCCAGAATCAGCAACTGGCAGAAGTAGGGACGGACCATCAACCTGTGTCTCTTGTTTTAGTGAGTTTTCAAGATTGAAAACAAACTTTCCTTTGGATCCTTTCCAAATCTTAACAACCTTGTTCAGATGGGCCTCTTAAGTAATTTCCTTTACACAACCTTTGCTCTTACCATATGTTAACATTGTCAGGTTCCTTAAAATTTAGGTTGTCTTACATTCCAGATTCTTACAGAGTTTATTATAGGTCTCTTGTAGATCTTTCATTAGATTTATTCCTATTTAATTTTATACACAGTCACTGTACCAGAATGAATTGGTAGGTGTTCAACCATTTCAAGAAGTAGTATTTGATCAAGAACCTGTGGTACTGAGGAAAGAAGTCCGAGCGGCACTGGGGGCATTTGGGAAGCATAAGGCTCAGGAACTGACAAAAGACCAATTGAAATGTCTCAACAAACTGATGCAGTGCTGGATGCACTCACTCGTCTATGCCAAGAAATTTGGATGACAGCTCCCAGGCCAACCAGCTAGTGGTGGTGGTGGTGGTATGCTGTGGAGTTGGTTCTGACTCATAGCGACCCTGTTCAGGGTTTCCAAGGCTGTAAATCTTTATGGGAGTAGAATCAATTAGTAGAGATTCCTATTTCTGCCCATTCCAAAGAAAGATGCCCAAAGAAATGTGGAAATCTTCAAACAATTTGATTAATACAACACGCAAGTAAAACTTTACTGAAGATAATTCAAAAACAGTTACAGCAACATAGGTTGCTGCCAGAAACTCAAATCAAATTCAGAAGAGGACATGGAACAAGGGTATCATTTCTCATGTCAGAAGGATCTGTGCTGAAAGCAAAGAATACCACAGAGATGTTTACTTGTGCTTTATTGAACTGTGCAAAGGCATTGGACTATGTGGATCTTAACAAACTATGGATGACATTGTGAAGAATGGATATCCAGGGCTCTTAATTGTGCCCCTGAGGAGCCTGTATATAGGCCAAGGGGCAGTCATTTGAAAACAACAAGGAGACACTGAATGGCATAAACTCAGGAAAGGTATGCTCCAGGGCAGTAGTCTTTCACCATACTGATTCAATC